TCTTTCCCTAGCTGCCTCATTTCCTTCATCCCTAGATATTTATTTCCTGCAGCTTTAATCCTGCTGTTGGCTCCAATCCCTGAGGATGTTGTCTTTTTACTCTCCTTAAATGACAGCCCTGAAAGATGCTACTAAACTAGGTCCACTGTTCCAGCTGCTATTACAAGCCTCCAGGCTCTCCTTGCAATGAAAAGATTGACAACTGTGGAAGCAGCTAGAAACAAACAAACCTACCACATCACAACCCACTAATCCATAGTTCAGTTTGGAAACTGTAGGCTCTGCTCCAAATGCCCCACTACCATATCAACACTGTGATAACTGCATCGGTAATGGCTTTGTGAAACAGGGTTCTACTTAAAGGAGAAGAACAATGAAAAGAAAGTAAGTGGTTGTGGAAAGAGGCTCCCCAAATTCTTCTCAGGTCAAAGTCTTGGATCCCCAGTTTGATTATAAGGCTCTGTCCTTGGACCCATATTGTTCAACATCTTCATTAATGATGTGGACATTGGAGTCAGAAGCGGACTGGCCAAGTTCGCTGATGACCCCAAACTTTGGGGCAAAGCATCCACACCAGAAGACAATAGGGCTATCCAGGCTGACCTGGACAGGCTCAGCAAATGGGGGGAAGAGAACCTGATGGTGTTTAACACTGAAAAATACAAGGTTCTCCACCTTGGGAGGAAAAACCTGCACCATGCATATAGGCTTGGCAGTGCTACACTGGCTAGCACTACGGAAGAAAGAGACTTGGGGGTCATAACTGACCACAAGATGAACATGAGCCTGCAATGCAATGCTACAGCTAGTAAAGCAACCAAAATGCTGGCTTGCATCCATAGATGCTTCTCAAGCAAATCCTGAGACGTCATTGTCCCCTTGTACTCTGCTTTGGTGAGGCCGCAGCTGGAATACTACGTCCAGTTTTGGGCGCCACAATTCAAAAAGGATGTGGAAAAGCTTGAGAGAGTCCAGAGAAGAGCCACGCGCATGATCAGAGGTCAGGAAAACAGACCTTACAACAACAGGCTGAGAGCCATGGGGCTCTTTAGCCTGGAAAAGCACAGGCTCAGGGGTGATCTGATGGTCACCTGTAAGTTTATCAGGGGTGACCACCAGTATCTGGGGAAACGTTTGTTCACCAGAGTGCCCCAAGGAATGATGAGGTCAAACGGTTATAAACTACTACAAGACCGTTTCAGGCTGGACATAAGGAAGAATTTCTTTACTGTTTGAGCCCCCAATGTCTGAAACAGCCTGCCATCAGAGGTGGTTCAAGCACCTACAATGAACACCTTCAAGAGTAAACTGGATGCTTATCTTGCTGGGATCCTATGACCCCAACTGACTTCCTGCCCTTTGGGCGGGGGGCTGGACTAGATGATCTTCCAAGGTCCCTTCCAGCCCTAATGTCTATGAAATCTATTAAATTTAAAAAACCCAGGATAAACTACACGTGACTATTTTGAAACATTAACGCCATTACAACATAAACAAACAGCAACACTTGTATCATTAAGAGTGTTAATGATGAACATAAGAAGTAGAGAATGAAGACGAGATAAAGCTAATCAATGACAAACTACATGAATTTGGGAAACACAGGAAGGGATTTTTATTACGATTTTTTAAAGATTAAATTCATAATTGCAGTCATTCCCCAACATGCTTCCATTCCCTATATCAATATAATGTAGTTTTTACCTCTTTGTCAGATCTCTTTAAGTGGTTACACCTATCTAAAAACTGATATCCTGCCATCACCCACTCCTTCTGTAGTAAGCTCTGAAATCCAACAATCGTCCGAAAATAGGGATCCAGCATCACTTGAATGAGGGAGGCTACAAGGCAGCTTAGGTCCCGTCCTTCTTCCTCTGAAAATAACAAATAATATTTTTATTTATATATTTCAAAGAGGTTAAAAGGCACTAAACTGGCAATTTTCAGTTTAGTACTCACATTTGGGAGCTTTTAAAAAATGTTATATATGGGGAATGACAAAGATAGCTATTTGGTTGGTTGGTTCTATTGTAGAGGCTACCTAATAAATGAACTGTCTGATCTATAAATCAGCTGATTTTTCACAGTCTTTCTATTTTGAAATGCCCACTAGTCATTATTTGTACACATTCAACATCAGAGATACATAGTCTACACAGTAGAGATACATAGTCTACATAGTAGAGATACATAGTCTACAACTCAGGGCCCTGACACCTTGTTACATTTAAGACACAATCTAAGTATTAATCCTTCCATAAACAGTAACCTGGACATAGGTTAAAGCCAATTTATGGTGTGATAATATAGCAAATGAGCCACAAAGATATTCTGCATATAATGTATAACATCTTTGTGGCTTGTTTGTATCGTACCTTATATTGTATGCTGGGGATGAGCCATGACAGATTCTGGTACTCAGGTGAATGTAGCGATCCAGCATGGAGCAACTTCAGTGTCTGGGACACAGCTGCCCCACACCTGATCCATGGGATTGGGCTGGGCCTGGTGCCACCAGCCAATCCTCGCAGGCAGATGGCATGGTCAGACACTGTAAACTTGACATCAGGGAGCATCTCCCCAGTCTTGGGCTCACTGAAATCCAGGGTGTCCAGGTGAGAGCCTTGGGGTGCCTAGGGAAGCAGCAGCTGGGAAGCTGAGAGATCTGCTCCACAGCTGTAGGTGCTGCTTCACAGTGCAGGGCCTGGGCAGCTGGCGAGCAAACTCTTTAGATTCTACTGGTTATGTTACAGTCCAAATACACTGCACAATTTCTCCCTGCAGTTATGAACTTAAAATATTTGACTACTATCTCATATCATTTCAGTAAAGTAAGATCCAGGTAAATTATATTCATCATCTACTTGTTTTAACCTTTAACCTACTAATGACAATTATAGCATATTAAAAGATTATATTACCTTGTAGAACTACAGAAACACGCTTACATTCCAGCATATATACAAGCTCAACAGAATGCTTAAGAAATGACCTAGGCAAAAAAAAAAGTAATTAACTTCATAATTAATACCAAGAGAATCATAATTTGACAGACCATTTTTTAAGATTTGGGGAAGGGATTTTCAAATGCGAGTTAAATAATTCAGGATCACAAGTGCTGCTGATTTCACTGGGATTTATGCAAAGAGGTCATGTAGGCACATCCCAAAATCTAACATACATTAAAACAATAAGATAAAACTTCAACTTCTCTCAGGATTCTAGTATCACAGACTTTCTGTTTAAAAGACTGTGAAAGCTGAGTTTGAAATGGTGCTTAATGCAGCCTTGATTTTTTAAAGACTTACATTTCCACACACACACACATACACACACAGTTTTAAGCATGTCATTCAAGTAATGAATGTTAAGCCCACCATTTTGTTTTTGTAGGATTCCATATTATGTAATAAAATATATTTAAGTATAAAAAGTTTCCATATATCAATTTCACTTACTTATTTTTACATAGTAAAAATTCCACCTATATGCTTCATTGCTTACTTACATTGGTGAAAATTTAAGGAGGTAATATTAACCATTATCTTCTAGTTGTACTTTTTGTACACACCTGATGTATTCTAGCCAGTGTGTATTTTCCAGTGAGGACAGCCACTTCTCTTCTGTTTCTTCAAAAGGCTCTGCATGTTTTAAAGAATCATTCAGATGAACAAAACTTGACATGATAGGTCACATCAATAGGTCATGCTGCTCATTACCTTCTATAGGACTCTACAGTAACAGTTGAAGATACTTAGTATATATCCCTCAATAAAAAAAACAGTTTTCTTTTGTGTGCCAGGCTGCAGAGCGCAGCCACCACATGAAGTTTTATATCCAATACGCTTAGTGCATGAACTATAACCCATGATTCAGAATGAAGTAAAAGCCTGTAGACTCTACCAAGCTATTCTGCAACACAACACACCTTTTAAACAGATATCAAATGTAGGCAAGATAATTATTCCTTAAGAAAAAAAAAAAAACTTGTTCATCTCAAACCTTTCAAACTATATTTTTGCAACCTTATTCTTAAATACCTCCAAAAATAGAATATGCTTAAGAATGATATCATGACTTACCATTAACACATAACTGTTTGAGTTTAATAAATGCAGCCTGGATTTCCTGGATATTGGGTAGACACTTGTCCAAATCTGATTTGTAAACATCACTTCTCTGTGGATGGCTTCGAGTTATTGCATTACAAATCCTAGTGAAAAAGCATCAAGAACTTTAATCCTGGACTGGGAGGAAAATAAGTTCAGCAGCATAGAAGTATACTTATGGATGGATACAAAGGGTTTTTTTTGAGTTTTTTTTAAAGAAAGTATTTTAGTTGGTTGTTAGGAAGGCAAATAGCTTATATAAAAAAGCTATTTGGCCAAACAGCAAAATGGAAAAGCACAAGCATCTGATTAGCATTCAGCTTCAATGCATGTCATGCTTTTGTGGCCATATGGAATGCATGTGGAGGCAGAATTGTTGACACACATTCAGAAACTTTCAATTCCCACTGAGGAGCTAAATTAAATCTGAGCAATTGAAAACAATGGTTTGTTTAAAGGTATGCTAGAAGAGGCAGCTATTAATCACAACAGCACAGAAGCTGTAGGAAGAAAGCCTGTTGGGGAGGTGTGTTTAACGAAGTACATAAAAGGAGACCTGAACATAAGGCTAAAAGCTAGACACTGTTCAGTTTGAGCCTGGCTCTGACACCAGCTCCCTCTAGTCTTCAGAAATGTACAGAACCTTTATATCTCAGTTTCCCCTCAAATAAGGATAGTACATGCCTCTAGGTTCTACAAACATTATCTAATGCTTAGAAAGAGATCTGAAGATGAAAAGCTATTATAATGAGGACCATCACTAGACCAAACCTGCAATGGTAGGCGTGAAAGAAAAAACTTGAAGGATAAGATATCTCAGTTAGAGAAGTTAATTGATTTGTTGTCAATACTGAATATCCAGTGATACTTAAGAAATATATAAAAGCATATAAACTTTAGTGTCCCAAAGGGAACACTAATCAGAGCTTAACTTAAACCACCCAAAGGCAATGAAAAGATTTACAAGCAGCCTTCTAACCTATTAAAGATAAGGAATAAAAGGTACCAGTCTTGCAAGGTGCTCCGTGATTTCTGTACTGTGAAAGCTGGGGGGTGGGGCACACGACTTATAAGGAAAGGCAGAAGGAACTGGGCTTACTGGGCATTTATACATGTACTCTGGGAGTGTGGTGGGGAGGTATTTTAAATTAGAGCACCTCTGAGAGCCACTCTAAAGTGCCTGGAGCGTCACGTGTATCAGCATCCCCACGCTGAAAAATGGTGGCAGAGACGTTTTAATTAAAGCTCATTGCACAAGCTTTAGTTAAAAGCATCCCCGCTGCCATTTTTCAGCACGGGGATGCTGATACATGTGACGCTGGAGTTTGCTAAAGCATGGCAATTACCACGTTCCAGCAGACTTAATGAATTGAGTCAGCTCCGACACACTGTAATTACAGCACGGTGGAGCAGCATTGCTGCACATGTATAGGCACCCATTTAGTCTGGAGAAGACTGGGGGGATTTAATAGCAGCCTTTGACTACCTGAATGGTTGTTCCAAAGAGGATAGAGCTAGACTGTTCTTAGTGATGGCAGATGGCAGAACAAGGAGCAATGGTCCCAAGTTGCAGCAAGGGAAGTTTAGGTTGGATATTAGGAAAAACCACTCATGAGGAGGCTAATAAAGCACTGGAACAGATTACCTAGAGAGGTTTGTGAAATATCCATTCTTGGAGGTTTTTAAGACCCAGCTAGACAAAGCCTTGTGTAGGATGATCTAGTTGGGGCTGGTCCTGCTTTCAGCAAGGGGTTGGACTAGATGACCTCCTGAGGTCCCTTCCAGCCCTAATTTTCTATGATTCTAATGTTACTGGGAAATATGGCGTTTGGCATCCCAAAGCAGTATCTATTGTCTTACAGAACTCAGTCTATGTTGCTTTGTATTTTCCAAGCACTGCAACAAGATTAACTTATTTTCAAAATTTTTCTGTGAGCAAGACAAAAGTAGAAGTTTCCCACTGGTGGTACAGCAATGTCAATGCGGTAAGAGAAGCAAGTATAACAATGGGGTTGTGTCACTGGTGTGCTGTGCAGTTCCCAGTGTGGCAAAGAGACCAGAACCCTTAAACATACATTATCAAAATATTATTCGTTAAATATGACTTAAGTGGACATTAAGTAATTCCAAGGCTTTGTGCAGACCACCTGCTTGGAGATAAATTTCACACAAACTGCTGCATCACGAAAAAGGTATGTGTGGCTTATAGCCCACTAATTGTCTCATATATGTCTGGTTAAGTAATGATAATAAGTTATAGTTTACCTTTGGTCTATCTTTCTTTGTTGCAATACATCTTTAATGTTGGCCATTCTCACAAGAGCACTCCCATTAGGGTGATTCCAGCACCATACCTAACAGAAAGAGATTAGTTAGTACCATGTGACAAAGCAAAAACAGATTTCTAATTTCTGCGTATAAAACGTATCACTGTCAAATACTATATGACAATGAAAATCAGCATAAAGTGTACACTTACTGGCATTCGTCTCCCAATGAATGAGTAAGAATAGAGCTTCAGGTCCTGATCTGCTAAGGAAGATGGGACTACAAAGTATTCTGGAAGGCTGGGGGAAAAATACAATGCAGAGTAATTTTTCTTGAAAGCACTTATCTGTCCTGGAGACAGAAGCCTACTACCAACAGTGGTGCGTTAGCACAAGATGAGCTGAACCTCAGAATAATAATGCAACTTAAATGAGGTACTACATAAGCACAGTGTATTTATGGTAATAGCCACTCTATTTCCATGTGTGCTCAGTAAGCCACTCACAGTACTAGCAATAAAACTCATATCATGGGTATGTCTCACTTGTGGGACCCAGCACTACAATCTTGGTTTCTCTTGGTTCAAACAAAAGCATGCCTCCTTTGCATTACCTCCATTAGAAAAAAGAAGTGAGATATATCCCTTCACCTCCAACAAAAACATCTAAAAGCATGACCCAAATAGGAGGCTAAGCACACAATGTTTTCTGATGCGCTATCAGTTTACCAACCTCTATTAATTGCTTACTTCTACCCCTCCACAGGATCCGATTCAAAGAATGGAAATCCCTGGTTCGTTTTACAGATACATATGGGAAGAAGACACAAGCTCAGGGGTGGACCACTGAGAAGCTCACAGAGCACTATGGAAGCAACAGACAGTGCTACTCTAACAATGTTCCTGGGATTTTCCATTATAAAGAATCATAGAAGTAGGGTCGGAAGGGACCTTGTAGATCTTCAAGTCCGACCCCCCGCCTGGGCGGGAGAAAAGACTGGACTCAAATGAGTCCAGCCAGGTAGTCATCAAGCCTCTTCTTAAAGATTCCCAGGGTAGGAGCCAGCACCACTTCCCTAGGAAGTTGGTTCCAGCTCCTAGCCGCCCTAACTGTGAAGTAGTTCTTGCGGATGTCTAATCTAAATCTACTCTCTAATAATTTGTGTCCATTGTTCCTTGTCATGCCAGGGGGCGCTAGGGGAAACAGTGTCTCCCCTAAACCCTTCTGGTCCCCCCTAGTGAGTTTATAGACAGTCACCAGGTCCCCCCTCAGCCTTCTCTTGTG